ATTAGTGTGAATGACTCATATATTGACTTTTTCCAGTATGTCTCATAAGATTTACACACTGGGCAACCCCAGAATTAACTTTGAAGTGGACTTTAGCTTTCCCAGCCTCTGAATTAGCTTCTGGCAATGACTTATTTTGGTGGGGATAAGAGTGATTTTGTTGGCTTTGGTTTTTTTTTTTATTTTTCATCAATACAGAACTGGAGCCTTTGTGCTTTGCAAGCCCAGCTGCTCAAGCTTTGTTCGAATTGTTTGTAAACAGCTCCATACACCAAACACAGCTTTGTTCCTTTGCTGAGGACTCAGGGCACATAAACTTAAATAAAATAAAGCTCTCACTGTGTAATGTGAGTCCAAGTTTGAGGACCTGTCCTCCCAGCCCTGGAAGCCTGATTTGCAATGCTGAAGTGAGTTGATGAGAGAAATCTGTGGGCTGCAAAGAGCTCAGACACAGGAGCTGTGGCACATGCTGCACTACCAGTTACACATGGTGCAGCAAAAATGGGGTTTAAAGTGTGGATCAGGCTCCACGTTTGCCCTGCTTTCACAGCCTGAAACCATCCTAAATCCTGTCTGTCTGTGAGTGGGGCACAGCCAGTGCTTCCCCCTAGGATCAGCTCAGGCAGTGGATCAACTCCACCACATGGCATTTGGCCCTGTTTGTGTTGTCACCTTCCACAGCTTTGGCTTTTCTGGCGTTATGCACAACTAATTTCCAACATTCCCTCACAAAAAAAAAAGGTTCAGTTTATGGCAGTGCCCCGGGAAGCCTGGCCTGATGCTTCCAGGATATGCAGAATTTGAATAAACACTGACTTCACCAACACACACAGCCTGCCATTCCCAGCCACTTGTGGAGTGACTGAAAGGCTGAAGTGAAAAAAAAAAAAAGGCTGGTTCTTGATGACACATCCCTGATTCAGTTGGTCCCGAAAAAAAAAAAAAAGCAGGAGGTTTCTTTGCCTAAACCTGCCAGTGGAAATCTGACACCGTTTGGTGGTTAGCAATGAAACGCTTTATTAAACTTCAATCGCTCTTTGAAACCGAATGGTTTCGATTGCCACACAAAATGAAACTGCTGTCGTTTGCTCACTGCTGGGATGTTGGCTAGACAATTCATTGAAAAATGCATTGTAGCTGCAGCAAACAGATAGCATTGTGCTTCTAATTAGTTAAGTGGAAGTAGCCTGATTTCCACCTCAAACAGGTACCTGCCTCTCCTGCTATCTCTTTCAACCTGAAAGCAAAAATTCAAAAATAAATCACAAAACTCCCAAACAAATCTGTAGTCTTGTTTAATAATAAAACAGATGGTGCCCATACAGAAATGGTCTCCTACCTATGACTCACTCTTTTTCCATTGAAAGTTAGGCAAAACCTTCTTCACTAATATGTAATAATTACTCTTGAAAAGCCTATTGAAAAATATCCTTTTCAGGGAATATATTTGTCTCATAGAAAAGTCACCTGCCATTTAATGACTTTTTTTAATCTGCCACAACACTACACCAATACCTGCCTACAACCAGGCACTCCACATAAGAAAAATAATCACCACATACGTTGAAAACCAGCCAGTCTGAAAGGTCAGAAAGACATAACAGAAAACACATAAAATGCTGGATGACTAAAATAAACGTGAGTTCAGCTGAAGCCAGGGCCTTGCCAAGAATTTTGGAGCCACGTCTGGTCATGCCTTTGTTAAATCTGTATGGCCAAATGCCCTGGCAAGGGCCTTTCTGAGGTCTGAGCAGCCTAGAATGCTGGGCATCGGATATGGAGAAAACAATTAGTTTTGTTTTTTTCAAGAGTTGTTATGTGATGTGATGGCACCAAATCCTCCTGCATCTGGAAGCTCTGCTGAGGCTGGTGTGCCTGACAGGAGGCAGCATGGCTGGGGCAGCTCTACAATTCCCATCTTCTATATTGTCTGGGGTTTGCTTTGTTGCAAAATGTGATACTGACAAAAGCTTTATTACAGGTCCATGAGACAAAGACTGCAGTTTTACAGACAGACACTGCTTTTGTCTGTGATTTGACACCAATTACAGCTTCTTGCCCTATTTTCTGCCTCTCAGACAGTTTTTGAACTGTGGCATTGTCTTATGTTTCATCTTTCCACTACTCAGTTTCCTCATTAGTCTCTTGAACTGTGCTGAGAGCTGGAATAATTATGATGCTGCTGAGTCCTTCTTTCAGCTGCAGAAGGGCATTGAAGGACTGAAAGGGAGTGAAATTCCTCCCAGGGAAGTCATGCTGATTTGTCCCTGTCATACTCTGGTTATATGAATGGGTAAATCCCAAACTGAAAATATGTATTTTTGGACACGTGTACCAAAGGTTTGAAAGTCTTCATCAATACAGAGACAGCAAAACTAGGGAGCAAAAACAGAAAAATGTATTTTTTATTGCCATTCATAGTTTATGAATATTGCCATGTTTTATTATTAAATTACCCTTTAAATATTTTTTTCAGATTTTAATCCAGATGGAGAATCTTATGAAACCAGTGCCTTTCAGAAGAGTTTGCCACACTGGGACAAGAACATATTCCTGCAACATGACACCTCTCCAAAACTGACCTAGCTGTATTCCATAAATAAAACAATAAAATAGAAACAAAATAAAACAAAAGAATAGAATATGATCTTGAGATGACTTTTAGATCCTTTTCTACTTAAGAGGATCCTAACAGGAAACTTTCTTTCCCAGTAATTGATTTGAACTCTATTGATGAGTAATAGAACTCACAAAAAAAAAAAAAAAAGAAGAGAAAAAAAAAATTTAAAAAAACTTTAAAAATTTTTAAAAAATTTTTAAAAATTTTAAAAAAATCAACATTTCCAGCTAATGAGGGTTCCTTCATCCTGCACCTTACAGAAAACTTTGATTTAAGCACCAATTGGGCTGCCAATAAATTACTCAGAATTTAATTTTTTAAATAAGCAAGAGTCAGGATCTCCTGGACTATGTATGAACCACTGTGTTTCCCTGCTCTGGAATGAGGCTCATCAGGAATCCCTGTTCAGTCACTTTGGAGCCAGCTCTGGGATTTGGTAGAGGCTGCTCAAGACTAAACATTTCCAGTGAGATCCTTTGGGCTCATCAATCAGCCTTTGCAGTGAAATGTTTTTCATCAGTTTGCTTCAAATCAGCTGTAATAACCTACAAAGAGAGAGATGAAAGCCCTGAAAGTCAATAAAACAACTACTGTAAGTAATTTTAAAATACTTACATTAACAAATGTTAGCTGAACGCTTTTAGAAGGAAATATTTCTGCAAAGGACACCAAATCATGACTGCAGCTAAAGCAGGATGATTTGGCTTAACAGAGTCTCATTCCCTTTTCCTGGCAGGGTGTGTGCTGATGGCTATAATTTAATTCTGGAGCCAAATCAAGGCAACTCATCACGATACATCTGCTGAGTTTTGAGTATGCATGGAGCAGGCATGTGTGTTTTCCTGAAAGCTTTTCCTAGAAGCTAAATGCACTGCGAAGATTTATACATCTGTTGTGTCATCTTTTGACACGGCCGATGAAAGCCAAGGCATAGCCCCATGCAGGAATTTTGGTTGGGGGATAGGTACTGGCAGAAAGGAAGAGAAAATATTGAGAACTTCCATGGCAAATTATGAAGCAATATTTGGCAGATAGCAATTTCCAGTCACAAATATATTTGTCTTTAAAATGGCTTGAAGATTGTTCTTTTTCTCTACTGACTAACTGCATTCTTTGTATAATGAAAATAGTGGATGAATGAGTGGCATGTGTGAGTTCGTGAATCTTTTGATGTCAACCAACAATGCAGATATGCAAGTATTTCCTTTTATTTGGGGTGTTTGTTGAGGGTTTTTTTGATTATTTGTGATGATAACATCAGTTTGGAACTGACCTAGACAACAGCAAGAGAAGGACATTATAATGTCCAGCCTATCATTACCTGCTGATTGCTTTTCTCCACAATGAGGAAGCTCATTAAAACATCAGCTTCAGGCTATCTCAGCAGGAATTAGGAATGGTAATTAGACACAGCCATGTGTTTTCAGTTTAAAGAATTCAATATTTGAAAATGTAGGGTCACAAAACGAGGCGAAGGCAACCATTTCTAAAAACGCAATGTCCTACAGAGGAAGGAAGTCACACCTGTTACCAAGTCCAGCCGTGATGCCCTGGAGAAGTTATGCTTTGTGGAAGCTGTGTGAGGAGGACCTGCTGAATACACAATTTCCTCCAAGGTAATGTTGTTCCCTTACATTTTGCATTGTCGTTTTCTGAGCCACAATTTAATTGCACTTGGAAATGGACCTTGGCTTTGATGGAGGACACATCTCCTGAGGTGCAGGACCAACACATGGTGACCAGGACAAGCAAAGACAGCAGGAGCTACTCATCTTTGCCAGAAAAGAGGAGAAGGCACCAGCTAGAGGATTTGGCAATCAACAGAAAATGGGAAGTTAGGGAATGCTATTGGATCTCACTCTCCTCCATGTGGTGCTAGGAGGGCTGCAGTCCTAACATACTTCTGTGGCTATTGCTGCCAGATTTAAATCAGTTTGTCGTTTGTATTCCCTCAGATGAAAAATGGGCAGAGCCCTGGTGGTGGAAGGATTTCAAAGGCATGTTGGGATTTTTTTCTTTCTTTGTGTACCAATGACCTTGCAGAGAAAACTAATATTAAATCTTCAGTACAAGACAGAAAAACGCCATCCAGGTGGGCTCAAACAAATCTTCAAATGCTGGAGACTTCCAGTGCAAGTGGAAGGAAACCTGCAAAGATAAAACTTGTCCTCAGTCTTGCTTGATTTCCCCCTCATGGCATTTCTCAAACTACAGTAAACAAAGCATTTATGTGACAGGGTGTAAATTTCTGTGTCCTTCAACAGCTGGTGTTACTGTTCCCAGCAAAAGTTTGGTTACTTCAGCATATTTCTCCAGGCGAAATACAACAACAAAATAAAGTGTACATGCATTTCTCTAAACAAACACACACATGCATGAATCTGTTCTCGTTAGCCATTGTGTAGGAATGTATTTCTCTCAATTAGCCTCTAACCACGCTGGGGATGAAGGGATGTATCTGACAGGAGGCTGCTGTGTGTGCGTTAGTGCTGACTGTTCCTCCGCTGGTGGAATATCTCCAGAGCAAACATCGCCAGTGGAATGGTTGCTTTGCATCCTCCTGAGAAGAAAAGATGAGGAAAGGTGTCTGTTAGTTGTTATCAAATATCAAGCAGACAAAAAAACGCTATTTTTTTCCTCCTCCTGCCTCTTCTTACCGAGGAAAGGAAAACCGCCTTCACTGTGTGCTTCAGTCCTGTTTGCTAGGTCACATTACATTGGATTTTAGTGCATTAATCTCCAGGATTTAATGGTAGGGTTTCCTTTCAGCATAGGTGGTAGGTCCTGCCCATTTGGATAATTCCTCATTTACTTCCATTTCACATTTGTGCATTACTGAGCACAACTGTTTCTTCACATCTGAAGGAAGGAGCGCTTTCTCACTCTGCTTTCGCAGACAGAAGGCTGTTGAGCACCAGAAATCAGGGAAGCTGGCTGGAGGTGCCACACCAACACGGAACATAATTCAAAGTGACCACGTTGAAGGCTGTTTTGCCTCACCTAGAGGAAGGAAGGAAGGAAACAGTTTGGAGGCACAAGGTTTTGGAAGACAAGGTGTTCCTACACTGAAGTTCCACAGCTCACTACAACCACTTCATTCACAAAAAGGCATTTTTCCTTAGTGCCACTACAAAGTGAAGGGGCAGAGGAAAAATCCAATCCCTCAGATATTTAAAGCTCAGCATTTATTGCTCAGACATTCCTGCTGCCTTCTGAGTCAGCCTTACACCCATTTTGCCATGCAGGACTGACCATTATGCAGAAATTACCAGGTTCTTCAGCCTCAGGAGACTGAGAACAATTTAGCTACATTAGCACGTTATTTTCCCCTCTGTAATTAACTCTTCCGTGCTGACACTGAAGATCATTCACTTGCCAAGGAAGAACAGCTCTCTAAAAATATTTGCAAAGAACTTTTTCCTCTGCTGCTCTGCAGTGAAGTTCAGTATTTTTAGGCTGCTTTTCTTCTGAATGAACACTTCCACCCTCAAGACAGAAGACAAGGGGAAATCGTATCTCCTGCTTACACGCCTTCTGTGGTGCCCCAAAACATCGTGTCATCCTTCATGCTGGTACATACTGTGCTAAAACAAAAAACAGTATTTTGATAGCAGAAGATTTTGAGCCATTAACCATTTCTCTCCGTAATCTGGTGGAGGGGATATAGATTTGCAAAGCAGGCTGAGGGCAGGCTGAATTTGCAATGAGCTCTGACGATGCCAGTGAAAACCTGTTTCCCCAGAAATTAATTCTGAAAAATGCCAGGTTTTAGTCCAATTGCTCATGCAGTACTGCCATCTCCTGGTCCCTTCTGCTGCAGCTCTGCTCGGGCAGCAAGAAGCAGCTGGGAAGAGCCTGCTAATCCCAGCAGAAATAGTTTGTGCCAAATGCCTACCTGGATGCGTGAGCAGGCTGTGCTTAGGTCATCTGACAGAGCCTGTGGGAAGAAGATTGAGGGCAGAAAAGGATCCTGCCAACACATGGACTTAGGGAATTTCCAAAAGGAAGTTTACCCTGAAAAGGCAACAGTCCAGCCGTATTTTCAAACAGAAAATGAGCAACAATGAATTATTATCTTCACCTTAAAAAAACAAACAAAATCCAAGCGCAAAATACAAAAGCAAAAATAAAATTACAATTAAAGAGTGGCTGGATTAGGAAGGGGGCACAAAAGCAATTAAAAAGCCACTGAAGTGCTTTGTGAACAGCCTGACTTTCAGTTTAGCATTCTCCTCCTTCCCCAAAGACCCACAAGCTGTAAATGCATGGTCCCCAAAGGTTCCACTGCTCAGTGTTTTAAAAGCACAGAATGCTCACAGCAAGCTGGTGGGGGATAAAATGAGATTTGAACTGCGTGGGATCACTGGCAAACACCAGCAGAGCCAGACTGCAACTCCCCAGGTTTATGAATCACCTGCTGAAATCAATGGGACAATGAACCTGCTCAAGATTACACATGTGCTGACGTCTCTCCCTGAGTCAAGGCCCTATGGTGGAGAATAAATTACCCAGCCAGATACAACTGACGTATCAAGGGAGATGTAAATTTGAGATTGGGGTATCTTGATTGCCCTAAGATGCTGAAGGTGCTGTTGGGATAATACACAAATAATCCATTAAAAATCTTTTCATCTCCCAGGCTGGTCTGCGAGTTGTTGACATCAGAGTTGTTGCTGAACAAATATCCTTTAAGGCTGAGATGTGATTTCTGTTAATAGATATGGTGGATAAACTTGTGCCCATACCTGACTGGTGACCCCAGAGGATGTTCAAGTAGTGCTGGTGCTTGGGCCATTTTGTATGGGCAGAATTTTGTTTGCCATCATCAAAAAATTGGGAAGTACATTTGCCATGCTTCCACCAAAGCTGATTTTTTATTAGGCATTCCTCTGAACATAAAACTTAGATGATTTTTACTAATGACCATTATTATTGGCAATATAAAACTTACAGTTTTCCAATTTACAGAGATGTTTAGAAAGAAAATCTTCCTCCTGGCTCATTCTTCACTTTTCAATTGGCTGAGAAGACTTTGAAGTTTAATAGCTATGTAGTGGTAAAAAAAGTGCCTGATCTCTAGGCTTGAAACAGTATTTTGACCAGAAGGGTTGGGTTTCCTTTTTGTTTTTTGGTCAAGAGGCTGGCCATTCACTGCCTTTCATGTAGCAAAAGCTGCTTTCTGTACCACATAGCCATCACTGCACTGAACACTTATTTTGCTGCAGGTAGGAAGTCAAATGTAAGAACTTAGTATCTTACATTTTGCCATCTGGATCTTCTGGGCTACCACAAATGAGGGGTTTTTTTTCAGTTTCTTACCTTAATGTAATATTTCCCTTGACAATTTTTAGATTAAGTACACCTTTTCCTGTGGATCTGAAGCAGAGAACATGCAGTGAAGAAAAGGCAAGTCTCTAATTTCATGTTGAAATGTCAAGCTACTCTGGAGCTGGGCTTTTTTCTTTGCTTTCCTGTTCTCACATACTTTGTTCACTTCACATTTTTCCTTCTTAGGAAAGCAGGTGAGTCCCCAGAAGTGTGTGTAGACTTTTTAGTTCCATTTTGGACCACTGCAGTCATTTGAAACATCAGTGGACTTAAAGAACCATCTTCTTCAACCACGAGTCAAATGTCAGCTACACAAATAAGAAATTCTGACCCTGGGGACCAGAAAAATACTGCATCATGTCACTATTTGTTTGGGTTTTTTTCAAAGAAAAGGCTATGGGGTACCAGATAAGAAATTAGCCTGCCCATATATGCTGGGCTCCAAAATGCCACCAGAAAGAGTCAACCTGTGTCTCAGCAAGTCTGCCTGTGAAATCAAAGGCTGGGGAAACAAAAACCCTCCCCAGAAATGTGGAGGGATATCCTGTAGCTGATGGCTGCTTCATCATGACCAAATTGAGCTGATTCTGCAGAAACTTCAGCCTGAGTGACTCCTGTGCACACAACATCCTTCAAAGGGCAGCATTTTCCAATAACAAATAATTACCAAACACACAAGCCAGGCATCTTCAGTCTGTAGGAGTGGCACTTCTCAGAGCATCTGGATGGATGCTTTTAAAAGCATTTTAGGCTGTCAGAATTGTACCAGGAACCCTTGCGAGTGGAACCCTTGTGAAAGAGTGTCACATTTTCCTCTTGAAGCTGTAATCCCTTCCCCTGGCAGGCAGGTGATGCCACATCGTTTTACAGAGCTGTACAGCTTCAGATTGCAAGAGCTGTTCCTATTAAAAAACAAACAAAACAAAACAAAAAACACACCCAGGGAGTGGCTAGGGAAGAGCTGAAATGAGTCATGGACCATAGCAAGGTCCTTCCTGCCATTCAAGACTGATGGGTCAAATTCAGGAGAGATAAAAAATTTGAGGGGGAAATGAAAAAACATTGTCTAGGGGAAAAAACTCGCTGATCATTGCAATTTTGTTTAGAGTTGCAAAAATAAAGGTTAATTCAAGTGATAATAACAGCCATTAGCGTTTATGATGAATGAAATTTATAGTGACTACAGCATTTGGGCATACTTGAATAAAATTAGTATCTACAGTAGCTTTCTATGTCATGTGTTGAAAAGGGAGTGCTTTGTTCTCACCTGATTTTTGTATGTTCCACAGTTTTTGCCTTATGCTTTGCTGGAGGAGATGAAGGGATTGATTTACAAGACATAACTTGCCAAGATTTGCAGAGACGAAAGAAACTGAGCTAATTATAAGGGCTTTGAAGATAATTCAAATAATTCGTCAAACCGTATGGTGGAATATCAGGGAATAATGGCAAGCTGGAAATATTCAGCAAAATCCTGAGGCTGTGAGAAATGTGATACCCCATTGCTAACATTTCTGCTAGTGGCCTCATCTGAAGGTAATTTTGAGCACCATTCAAATGCTCCAGGTTTCGCCACATCCTTGAAGCACGGACGGAAACCCAGCTTGTCCCGTTTTTAAATCCATCTGCAATCCAACCTTTCACTCCTCTTTCAGCTCCAGCAAATATCATCATTGTGCAATGGATTTATCTAATCAAACCTGTTCAGCACACGCTTGTGATGTACCTGTGCGGGAAGGTGCCAGGTGATCTCACCGGGTTGTGCGCACGTTGGGGTGAAGCACCCCTGACTCACGTCTTATCAATGGCATTTTTCATGCCTTCACCTCCCCAGGGACACAACCTCCTGGGTAAGTTTAGCCAAAGTTTGTCAAGTGTGGCTACTGGAAGAGGAGCTGCCTTAGGAGAAGGGGTGTGTGATCTCAGGGAATGTTGCACAGCTCCAGATCACAGTGCAGGTGGCAGAAGAAGCACTGGCTTGTTGCTTCTGGAAAAGAGTGAAATCACTTTTTTAGGACAGACTAGAAAGTGCTGGTTTAGTTGGATAAAGAGTCATGGGAAGGAAACACACAGATTATGTGCCATTAGACAGACTGGTGTCTGTTGTGTGGAATTTCTCACTGTGAACTGCTTTCAACATCAAGGAGAAAAATGCATAGGTTTTATTCACTTCTAAAGTTTGGGAAGATATCCAGAAAATTACTGTTATAAATTTCATATTTTATAAAAGATTGTGTGAACAATGTATACTGTTTAAATTTTGGGGAGTTTAAATCAATTTATATACTCTTTTCCCAAGTGGCAAGTAATAAAACAAGAGGAAATAACCTCAAGCTGTGACTGGAGAGGTTCAGATTAAACTCAGGACTAGATTAAATTTAGATTAAACATCAGGAAAAGAGTCTTCACCGAAAGGGTGGTCAAGCATTGGAACAGGCTGCCCAGGGAAGTGGTTGGGTCACTATTCCTGGAGGGATTTAAAAGATGTGTGGATGGGGCACCTGGGGACATGGATTAGTGGTGGCCCTGGCAGAGCTGGGTTAATGGCTGGACTTGATCCCAAGGGTATTTTCCAACCTAAATAATTTTATGGTTCCATGATTCCACACACAGGTTGATGGATACACCTAAAGTGTAATCATATTTTTTGACTGACTGCATCTCTGAAACAA